ATGAGAACGGGTGAGAAATGTTGTAGGTGGAATTGCAAACACTTTAGTTTAACACTTGATTTGCTCTCTCTTTGTGGTCTCTTTTTCTTTTCCCTTAGGGTCTGAATTTTTTGATGCCTTCAAGATGTAGTTAAGTACAGGGCAGAGATTTAATTGGAAGAATCATCAGTTGTGTTGTTGCCTGGGATTTTCCTCATTTAGAGAGGTGGCCTTTATAAAGTTTGATTTAGCTCAAATTGACTTAAACCATTTATACAAAACCCAAATAAGCCATATAGATATTAATACAAGAGGGTTCACATGGAAATTTGAAAGAGTTTGACTAAACTGGGCCAACCAAATTTACCTGCATCTGAAACAGGTACAATTTTTCTTTTATAGTAACATTTTCAAAAGTTCTTGAAGACTCCAAGTCCAATTTTCAAAGTTAATTTAAGATGCTGAGGAGCCCAATGCACACTGATAGTCATATCTGCAAAGAGAATATAGGCTTCTAAAGTCACTCACATGACAAACATTTTATCTAAGTCCTCTGCTTTGGGTCACATCCCCAAATGCTTCTTTGTGGAGCTAAACAGAGTCTCAGAAGAACAGACACGGCAGCCACAAAAAGCATTCTGGAAGGCAGATGTAGCAGGAGGTTCATTGTATCTAGTATTATGTAGTACTCCAGATACACCAGCATCCTAATTAAATACAAAGACTTAGAGAGGGAGAAAGAGTCTGAGTTTAAACTAATTTGTTCACTTTGTGGCTCTCAAATATTTACTTTTCTCTAAAAATACCCCCCAATATTAGGATGGTGATGTTTTGACTTAATGTTTGTATACAATATATGCAACTTTCATGGAGATTTGTTGGTTTACAAATATAAAATAACCTCTTTTGGAGGTGACCAGTGATTCTAATCGTGTGCTGATCTAATTAAAATTCCAATATTTTCAAATGCAGTGTTATAATAGAGCATTGATACAACAGTAATGAAACCACATTGGCTTTTTAAAAAATGTGTAGTTTTTAACTGTACCTTTACTCCTGTTAAGTTCAATGGGAGTTTTACTGCTTTGAAAATATAATGGGATCTTTACATTAAGCATTTAAGGTAGTCAGTTTTGGTGTACTTTAACCTACAACTTGTTTCCTAATTTAAAAAAAAATGCTGTAAAGATCATGTTGTCCCATATGTTTCCAAAAGAAACATATATCTGTGAGAGTTTATCCCTGCAGCAATTGCACCATTACAGAAAGTAAATGTGAAATGTTGCCTTTTATTATTTTAAGCACGTGTAAATGAGAAGTATTGTTATACTCTGAAACTGGCCTTTCATATGGGATCTGTTTCAAATTATGGCACACTGTGATAAGCAGTTGGGGCTTTTGGGAGCAATTATGAACTATTAAGATTCACGTGCCTTATTGGGTTGGTGGTTTTACGTGAATGGTGAAGTCCTGGAAATATTTTTAATAAGGGGCTCCCATAAACCTTTTCTCTATTATCTGGTTAAAAATCCCAGTGTAACAGGTGTAGGTACTAGAGGTGCACCCATACATTGGTTCGATATTGTATTGGCACCGATATAAAGAAAATTGACTATATCGGAAATTGGCCTGATGTGGCCAATAGTTTGGCTGATAAATGCCCATGTGTGCATGCAGCCACAGTGCAGCACACAAGCAGCGAGGAGAACAGCCTGGTGGCATGGAGAGCTGTGTGTAGCTGTTAAATCTGTTGTGGTGAAGAGGGGGGCAGATCAATACCCCCATGGTGAGGGAGGGAGTGGGGCTGGGGTAGACACTACCCATCTGGGGTGGGGCAGGGTGCAGGGTAGAGCCACAGCTCAGCTGAGGAGTGCGGGGGTGGCTCCCGCCACTGTGCTCCACTTGTCTAGCGCCTCCCACCACTCATCCAGGAGGCGGATCTGTGCAGGGTGGGCCAGGTGGACTGCAGCTGCAGGATGAGGCAAGGGGATGTACTGCACTTGAGATGGATGGTGGCAGAACTGGGAGGGGGCTACAGCAAAATTTGGTGTGGCTGCAGCCCCCGCAACTCCCTTCCAGTGCTGCTGCCACCTGCCCAAGTCCAGCACTGCAGCCTGCCCAGCTCACCTAGTACATATCTGTGGGCACACCCCTCCCTGTTCCTTCCCAGATGAGTGGCAGGAGCCCCCCACACCTCTCCCCATGCCCCCCAGATGAGCCGTGGCTCTGTCCCATCCCCAGCCCCACTCCCTCCTCACCACAGGGGGCGTTGATCCACCCTCCTCCCAAGCCCCTTTCCTCTCCCCCTCCCCTTTCACCACAACAGACTTGCCAGCTGCACATGGCTTTATCGGAAATTGGATTGGCATGGGTTGATATCCCTCCTTAAAAATCGGTTATTGGTATCAGCCCTCAAAATCTCTATCAGTGTACCCCTAGTAGGTACTTGCTGAAAGACAGAAGAGGAGGTGAGCTACAAGTCTCCAGGACTCAGTGGTATTTATTTAAAAAAAACATGGATTCATTAAAATCAGTTAGGAGTGGCAGGAACCAAATGTTTTGTGTGTCTTTATAGAGGGTAATCCTGGACATTTCAGAGCATTAATGTTTATATCACAGTA